TGCTAGTTTAGTAATTAGGAAAGGGAAAAGTTAAGGAAAATGCTCTGTACAGAAATGAAATACTGGATCTTTGCAATGAATTGCAAGAAGAACCACATCCAAAAGAGCCAGCTAAAGACTTGAGAAGGCAAAAGGGGAAAACATCCACGAAAATATCAGATCTTTTAAAAAACAAAAAAGGAAAGAGCAAAGGTGGCAATTTAATGTCTTTTCTATTTTATATCATTTAGAATGTAATTACAATATTACTTCCACTTCTAAAGTAAAACATTATTGCACTTGATCATAATGCAAATAAAAATAGCTTTGTATCTCATAACTTATATTTGAACTAGAAAATAAAGTCAACCAAAACACTTAGCATACCTGAGCTTCCAAGACAGCAAGTAGTCAGTCAATAAACAGCAGCTAACACACAAACAATCATTACAGGGTGCAGATTCATGAATAAACAGGTACTAGTCATTTTACCAAAGACCAATAACCAAGGGTGGAAGGAAGAGGGGTCTTCTTAGTTCCACCCTTGGAATCTCAGAGACTGACATTCCCTTAGTAAACAAGGCAAGTAAATGCCTGACAGGTGAGTAGCGACAAGGGAAAGAGGAAGCCTGGAAACTTAGTTAAGATATTGTCGCCTTCATCTCATAAATGGTAGCTACAATTCTAATTAACCAACAAAGGAAGACCTAGTTCACTCTACAATGTCTGCTATATGGCTTAAAAAGTATAGTATTTCCACTTGAAAATTACTTTATTATATAAGAAGATGAAGTAATAGTGCCATTACTCAACTACAATATAGGTTAAACCCGTATTTGTGAATTCATGTGCAAAGTGAACCACTTTTGTAGCACTTAATCTATCTGGAAATAGCATCAGTTACAAACTCTTATAGAACTCACGTCTAAGTTGGAGACTGCCTATATGCAAATCTAATTGAAGTGTCATACAATAATATTTAAAAATTACTAAAATGTTTGATCAAGGCTCAAGAATAAAAAAAAAAAACCCAACAGCTAGGGTAATTCAAATGTTAGAATAGATCACAAAATATAGCTTGTGATTTATGGGATCTCCTATGCATCAGTATTATGGGCACTGAAATATGCAATTAACAAAACCTGAAGACATAACAAGAAATCAAGAAGTGTTTGGCCAAAACAATGACATGATGCCATCTTAACTTTTCCCATGAAAATCCTGAATTATAAAAATATCAGACAGCTAAATATATTGGAATGTCATTCTGAAAATAAACAGAAACAAGAATATGATGAAATTATCAAATGCCTAGTGAAGTAGCTGCCAAGAAAAATTTCTTTACAGGGAAAAGGCCAGCTATTTTATTTTCAGTAAGAAATACTATTTTAGATACTACTGCATTTTTTTGCAAGTAATACTAATAAATCTTCATCATTTTATACAAAGCACCATTTTCCTAATTAACAATTTTCCTTGATATTTCTGATTTCTAGAAATTATGAATTCAAATTGGTTAGATGTCATTCACAGCATTAATAATTCTATTCTACTTATTTATCTCTCTAAAGCAGTGGTTTTCAAGCAGAAGTATACATGAGAATCACCTGAGGATTGTCCTAAAAACACATTCTCAAGTGCCATCCCTCAGAGACTGATTCAGTATATCTGGAGGGAAGCCACAGTATCTGTGTTTTAAAATAATTCCCCCAGTGATTACTTATTGTAAAGAAAACGTTAAAGAAATCTAGTAAAATTATCTGCTTGAAGAACATGCAACCATGCTTAAAAACACTTTCTAAACATTTACTTTAAAGTGTATATTAGGACAAATCGCTCTGAAAATGTATAAAAATAATTCACATATTAACCCAACTTCTATATTACATGGTCCCTTAAAAGATTTTAATTTTATTATCATCAAAAATGTATTTCAGTAACCACAGTACTCTCAAAAGTCAAGAATTTTAAGATTTCCTAATATAAAAAGCTTTGTATTTACCTACGGAAAAATAATGAAAGTAGGAATGATATCAGTAATATTTCAAAATATAATTATGCCCCAGCTATGCTATGCCACATATCATAAGAATAATCTTCACACACTCAACTACAATAATAGCAAATGCTGGCATTTTGGTTTAAGAACAAAGCACAAAAATATTTCATAGAAAAAAATCTCATTGTAAAAACTTATAAAGTTGAATGCTTCAAACAAAAGTATCTGAGGTTTGATTTCCCAACATCAAGCTTCCACACATACTTTGTAAACATACACTCAGTAAAGGATATCAACTTAAATAATGCCAGTTATCACTAAAAGAAGAATATCTAGGGAAAAAAAATTCCAGTGTAAAAATACATATCAACTAAAGTTATCAACTGACTTAAGACAATTTTAATATAAAAATCACACCTTGAATCCCATAATATAAAGTGTTCCTCTAAAGACTTTAAATTAACTAAAAATAAAAAGCTCTACACCAGTAATCAAGTTTTCCTTTTGTTACTATTCTCTAGTAAATGCTTTCTTTTGATTAGCTTTTACAATGTCATCAGGAGAGGCTGATTTGAAGTCAAACGGTGTTATTGCTACAAGAGGACTTATTTCTTTATTCTTTACATCTTGAACTTGTCTACTATAATGAAAAGTCTTATAGAGGTCAAGGGTGCGTCGCTTGCAGCTTTTCAGTGGGTAACGAAGACACAATGTTGAAGCAAAAGCTGAAGGTCTAGCAGCAAGGGCCTTGGTCCAAGAGAGAGAAAAGGGTGGTTTCCTAGTCACAGAGCCTTTATTGTTTTTCTTATTATCCTTAGCAAAATTGGAGTTTTTCCCTAACTTTGAACTTAGGACTTTAGTTCCTGATGTTGGAGCAACCGACTGATCTACTATAGGCTTTGGAACAAAATCTGGGGTTTTTATAAGGACACTAAGATCAATATTTGAATCTATTCCAGGAGACCTCATTTCAGATAAACTGAGATCAAAAGAATATTTCTTAACCTGAGAGTTGTCTACATCAATTGTTTCTGCAATCAAATCAGAAAGTGACAAATTTTCAAGGTCTCTCGTGGGAGAAGGTTTATGAAATGCCAAAGATGAGAGAGATCCTGTTAATTCTGATATTCCAGCCGAAGACTGACAGCGATTTGCTAGTTGTGACAGGGGAAAGGAGCTCAAACTTAGATTTGTGAAACCAGCAGACGACTGGTTACAAAGATCAGATAAAGTAAAGCATTGGTCTAGATCGTTTTCTTTGTGTTTCTGAAACAGTTCAGAAAGGGATGGCCTTTCACATTGGGAAAACTGCAAATTGTCATTTTTATAAATGCAATTCTTGGCACTTTGTTCACCTAAAGAAACACTTCCAACTTCAGTCTCTTTACTAGCATTTAAATGATCAAGAGTCAAATTTTCTAATGAGTTAGTTAACTGCAAAGGATTATTTGAACTTCCTAAATTGTTCTGTACAGGAATGTTTTGGAAGTCAGGCAGTGAATTATTTTGAGTAAGCAAAGAATTACTCGGTGTTGTGCTCTTCATCACTAAGGACTTTAAATCTGGTACTTCTTTGAACACAGAATCATTTTTGGAAACACATTCAGATGCATGAGGTCTTAACAAATCAGCATCTAGATTCTTTGAAAGTAGATTTTCCACACTATCCATGGTTGATAATCTGACTGATGGCTGACTTTTACAAGAATCTTTCGGCATATCATGAATTAGGTCGGCTAGTGAAAGCCCTTTTGTTAACTTACATGATTCTAGTTTCTTTACACTTTTAGGTCTGTCAAGTTTCTTTTTTCTATGGAGTAAACAGTGACTTGGAACTGAAGAATTATGATATAATTCATACTTCGCTACTGAGCTACAAAAATCAAAGGGGTTGCTACTGCAATCCAAAAGATTTGCTGATTGCGGACGAGAACTTTGAACATTGTCAGCTGAAACTTCAGAGGAAGAAAATAAGACTCCTTACCTTACAAGAGCCATTAATTTTCAGATGAATAGGATGACATATGCAGAAGACAGTCACAGCAACCAAAAGGAAACATGAAATGAGGCATTTAATTACTACATGCTTTTTTTATTATGACATGAATAAAGTGATACTTAATCATTACTTAACATTAAACAAAGACTCAGAATTTGTCTCAAATTCAAAACTTCTTAAAAAAATAGAAAAGACTAGGTTCATGTTCTCTGTTTTAATGCATTAAAAACAAACAAGCAAACAAATAACACCCTGTAATTTCTACTGCAATCTGGGATGCACTATTAATATAGGATGACATATTCAGACTCATTCCCAAAATGATCAATTAAAAGTACAAATCCATGTCCCCTGTCCCCCACCTCCTCAAAGAAAACACTCTTATTGCATGGTAACAGACTGCATACAGCTTTGTTGTAGCAAAAATCTAGCCCGAAGTTGCAAGAAATATTGACCTAGTTAACAAATCACCATACTTCTACTGACAGATGGGCCAATCAATATAATAGAACTACTACCTCTGTTCCCGTCTTATGTCCACTAAACTCCAAATTTAACCTCAAATCCTACAAATTAAAAATTATATATTTGGCTATAAAATGCAAGAGTATTGCATTATATTTAATGTTATCTAAAGGAAATGGAATTATATTTAGACATGATATAATAATACAGGTATTTTAACCATTAACTGGCTGGCTATTTCTACTTCCTATCTTATTAGATTTCAAAAAATAATAAATAAAAGATTCTTTCAGCTACTAACAAGAAAAAATACATCTTGCTTCATCCGAATTTCTTTCCACTATGTTCTATTATGAAAACAAGTAGTGAAGTCACCAAAAAAATAAGCTGTAACACAAGAAAATAGTACTCATCTTAGAGATTCACAAACTAGAAGATAGACTGTTAATAATGAAGAATTAACTGTAAGGAAAGATTTTCTTAATAGCTCAAGGAAATTAAAGCCCCTTTTAAGCATTAACTCTTAAAACAACTAAAAGAGAACACATAAAGGCATACCTTTTGCTATCTTTCCTGCAGATATTGTTCCCTCACTCTTGTCCTTCAAATTCTGCATGTTATCTTTTTCCAGAACCACTGACAAAGCCTTCTCCACATCAAACTTGTTCTTCAGGATGGCTTCAATCAATATTTCATCTGGCACAGCACCTCCAAGTATCTCTCTCATGTGATCAAGGCATGAATAAAGACGAGCTAGAACAGACAATAATGATCAAAAGCTTTATGATAGGAGCTAAATGAAGGAACTGCAAAGGCATATAGAATGACATAATCGATACTAAAGACTCAGAAGGGGGTGGGTGCAGGGATGAAAAACACCTGTCAGGTACAATGTACACAGGTACACTTAAAGCCCAGACTTCTTCACCACAATGCATCCATGTAACCAAAAATCATTTGTACTCCCTTCAGCCACTGATAAAAAAAAAATTTTTTTTAATTTTTCTAAATGGTACTGTGAAAGAATACTTACTCTTCAAAATTAATAAGAAGATTTGAAATCCTACCAGAATATTTAATTATCCTTTCTCTTTTGCAAAAATTATTTATAATGGTCATATTTTTATCCACAATATATCTATCTACCCTTATCAGAAGAACCAGTACTTTAATTAAGAAATCACTATAACAAATGTCTTCTGAATAAGTGACTAATATCTGAAAAAAGTGTAAATTGTATACACTAATAGCTATTTTCAGTCATTGAGGAAAACTCTCCTGAATAATACTGACAAGTGCTTGAAAAAAGTGTAAACTGCACAGTATACACTAAAAATATTTTCAATCAGAAATGATGACAGTATCTGCATTGATCATTTCTAACATGTGCAGAAAGGGAGAAGTGAGTATAAGACTGTTTCAAACTTGTTAGTGAATCCAGTTAATCACTAAGTATATTCCTTATATTTCTTGAATTATTACCTTAGGTTTTCTTTTAGGCTAACTTAAGTTTTTCCCAACCAACTAAAATAATCCTTGGTCAGGTGCAGCGGCACAATCACACCTATAATCCTAGCATTTTGGGAGACCAAGGCAGAAGGATCATTTGAGCCCAGGAATTCAAGACCAGCCTAGGAAACATGCAAGACCCAATTTCCAGAAAAAAATCAAAAAATTAACCAGACATGGTGGCGTGCACCTATAGTCCCAGCTACTGAGGAGGCTGAGGCAGAAGGATCATTGGAGCCCAGGAAGTCGGGACTGCAATGACGTGTGATCATGCCGCTGCACTCCAGCCTGGGCAACAGGGTGAGACGCCAACTCAATAAAAATAAAAATAAAAAATAAAATAAAATCACCCTTAATGACAAGAAAACAAAAAAAAAAGCCTAATACAAAAATGCCATAATAAAGAAGTCTTATAAATTAAGAGGAAGATGGACATTCATTTTAAAAGTGAAAAATTTAAGCCCTGAATTATCTAAACAGTTTATGAATTTTAATTTTCTAATGACTAAGTAATTAATAATATTTATTAATGGTGTAAAATCCATAAGAGCAAAGGTTTTGTATCCCTAAAACCTAAACCAGTACTTGGTACCTAGAAAGTCAATGAATAAAAATCAATGAACATCATCATTTACATCTATATAGCACTTGACAATTTTCACAGTACTCTTACTGGTATTCCTTTTGTAAACTTCATAATAATTGTATGACTAGATATAGCAGACAAATTCTAACTTATAAAGAAAAGACTGAAAATCATGGAACTATTAAGTTAGTAATAATCAAAATAGAGCTGAGGTTTTTGAACATCCTAGTTCACAAAAATCATTTCACAGAATGCAATCTATATTTAATTTTATATGCCTACAAGTTAAATAAGAAATCTACTGTCAGTACCCTTCCTTTAAAAAAAATAGTATTTGATGCTTTTCCGCCATCGCTCCATTTTTAATTATTAAAGATAAGTTCCTCAAATATTGGGCAATTTGCGTCAACCTAAGATTTTTATTTTATTTTTCATTTTGAGACAGAGTCTCACTCTGTCACCCAGGCTAGAGTGCTGTAGTACTATCATAGCTCACTGCAGCTTTGAACTCCTAGGTTCAAGTGATCCTCCTGCCTCAACCTCCTGAGTAACTTGGACTACAGACACATGCCACCATGCCTGGTTAATTCTTCTTTAATTTTATTATGCCATGCTTTTTATAGAGATATGGTCTCACTATTTGCTCAGGCTGGTCTTGAACCTCTGGCTTCCAGCAATCCTCCCACTGGCCTCCCAAATTGCTAGGACTACAGTTGTGAACCATCATGTCTAGCCTACAAAATTAATTTTAAAAGGCTAATAATAAGCTCTACTGAGAAAATAGTACCTATTGGATACATACATGAATTATCGGAACTGAAACAGAATACTTAACATAGCTAGCATCAGGGCCTCTCCTAATTAGAAGGAACTATTTCTACACATACACAAAAAGGTAGTGAGAGGTTAAAAGTAGAGGTTCTTGAGTTAACTGGCTTGATTCATATCCTAATGATACTCACTAGCTGTTATACCTCAGGTAAGTTATTCTCCATGTCTCATTTTCCTCCCTGTAAAATGAGGACAACCATCCTACCTCATAAGGCTGTTGTAAAGATTAAAGATGTTATTACCTGAACAGTATGTAGAACAGTACTTGGAGAGTTTTTAGTAAAAGTTAGCGAAAATCATTACTATTGCCATCACACAATCACTTACATATGCCAGGTTGGAATGATTAACTTTCCTTCTAAAACATGACTGAATTTCCTGACTCCTCCTTAATCATTGTCCACTGAGGCACAGCAAAAGGACAAGACTTTTACTCTATTCCCACCCTCTTAGCCCACAATATTAACTACAGCACTTTCTTTAAAAATACAATTAAATATTACCAAGGAGTTCATACAACAGCTCCTCTTCAAACTTTTATCCAAATTTTCAAATGTATTTGCATAATTGATAAAGAGATTATTTTTTTTCTTCTGTATCTGTTTCCCTTTCTGCTTTCTCTCCATTTCTCTTAATCTGGTTAGCAGCCTGTACATATTTTATTGAGTCATTCAAATATCAGCTCCCACAAATTTCCATGTAAAAATGTTTATAGAACAAAATCATATTCCAGAAAAGAGAAAAGCAGCTCAACCTGCTCACTTTCAACAGGTGGCACTACTGTTATACCTGGCGCTTTTAGTTCTGCTATCAATGGTTTGCGTGATGTATGAAGCAATGTTACCTTTGAAACGTACTTATAAAAAAAGAAAGTCAAAATATAAATATCTTTGTTAAAATGTTTAAGAGTTGAAAACACACATACTTGTAACCAATATCATTATCATTTCCAAGTTCTATCTTGAAACTAGACTGAATTGTTTTTTGGTTTTTGGTTTTAACCTTTTGGAACCTAACATCTTGGGTAAAGTAAAGGAGTCTCTGTATTCTAATCATAAGCTCCACACACAACTTATGAGACAACAAACAGGTTTCATAGAGATTCTCTCCTATGAAAAACTAAAAGAATGGCATATTCAATCAAAATTCTCAGTTACTAAACAATAGCCATACAATCAATTTTTTTTTTTTTTTTTTTTTTTTGAGTTGGAGTCTCATTCTGTCGCCAAGGCTGGAGTGCAGTAGCACGCTTATAGCCACCCCAGCGTCGACCTGCTGGGCTCCAGCGATCCTTCTGCCTCAGTCTTCCAAGTAGCTGGAACTCCAGGTGCGTACTACCGTGCCCGGCTAATTTTTTTTATCTATTATAGAGACAAGGTCTCGCCAAGTTGCCCTGGCTTGTCTCAAACCCGCAGGCTCAGACAATCCACTCACCTCGGCCTCCCAAAGTGCTGGGATTACAGGCTGAGCCACCAAGCCCGGCCACAATCAATTTTTCAACCATGAAGTCAAATACTCTCTTCACAAAATATACTTAATAAAACACAAATTTTATTTAAAGAAATAAGATACATTTGCATCATTACTATCTATAGTCACTATTGTGAATAATCAAAATAAAAATTGATCAATTCTAATGTATTTGGGACAATCATTTTCAGGTAAGAAACACAGACACGTTACTTTTGCTATACCTTCATCAATTCCACTTAGCCGGTGGTTCAAAACAGAATGGGAAGATTCTTTCAGATCTTCATATTCTTCTACTGGCTCAACAACGGAAGGCTTATCACGTTGTGAATAAATAAACTGTGCAGCTAGAATATAAAATGATCAAAGAATGCTGTAGTATAGCCACTTTCCATTCACTTTTTTTAAATAAAGGTTAAAGTAAAAGTTAAAGATTCTGATCTACCACCCAGAGTCAGCTAGTCACATTCTATAATAATGGATTAAAACGAAAAACAATCTAAGACAAAACATATACCCAAAATCCTGCTCAAATGTTCTAACTCTTAAACTCTTATCATCTTCTTCTTTCTTTCTCCAATCTCAAAGAAAACTCCACTGAGCCTCCTTTCTCCATGGTTTTCAAAAACCACCTTTCCTAATACCTCTGGCTTGCATACTATTCCATGTTCCCTAAAATGTTCTCTTCTTTGCTACAATTATTTCAAACCATATAGCAAACTTACTAATTTAAATAATTAAGAAAACCCTAAAACGTATTTGCATAATTAAGAAAACAAAAGGTTAATGTTCACTTCCCAAGAACTGCTAATGTTGCCTGAATTCAATAGTTCAATGAAAACACAGGCCTTAACCTATGAACAACCCTTACTTTCAGTCACACACTGACACTATGAACTACTGTCCTATACCTAAATTTGACTTTCAAACATCTGTCTGTGCTACTCTGCAATACTGACAGTATTATCAGTAAATATATAACTGGGTATTAGATATCTCATGACAGGAAAGAAAGACAGATTATCAAAGTGTTAATATATATCTGAGTACCATAAATAAAATACAAGTGAGCAAAGGAGAAATTCACAAGGCATGCCCGAAGTATTAACATTTCTACCTCTAATAGATGGTCACTGAACTCAATTCTGGAAACTGTTAAATTGTGAAGGAATAAAATTAAAGGATATGTTAAGGATAGAAATATACTATTCAAAAGGCAAGGTATTATTATGAATTTTACATGATTTTGCTTTCTGTAAAAGCACTACATATGTTCTCTCAACAAGTTTCACTTAGGAAATACTGACAAGTAAGGAAGTTCTCAATGTATAGGCATCTACTCTCCTCCTAGGAGCTATATTTTTTACTACTACCACCCCCCCAATACACACCCTTGTACACGCTATTAGGAAGGCCTTATTTATTAAAGGAAAACTCCATTCAAAATTTATAGATAATGCACATAATAGAAAGCTGTGGCCTGAGCGTTACACCCTCAGAAAACCACAGCATAAGTGCTCTCTATTCACTGTACAAGTCAATGGCCTTACAGATTCTCAGGGAAGGCAAAGAAGAAAAACGTAATGACATATCTTAAGTCAAATGAGTTAACACAGATAAGTGCTGCAGAAGCATAAAGGATTAAGTAATCAATAAAGACTGAAGTAATAATAAAACAGGTAAGAACATAGGACAAGCTGAAGAGATGGAAGAGATCCTGAACAAGGAAAACAGAACAAAAGAAACAGAGCCAATGAGAGAATTCAATCTATTCAACTATAATGCATGTTTCCTAAATACAAATTAGCTCATACTAATTGGCAGACAGCAGAATGATGAGGCAATATTAAGAATGCTTTAGTTGGTGAAATTTTTCTCCCAATACTTCAGGGGTTTGCAATACCAAACAATAGCAAGAGATATGCAGTCCAATAACACTAATCCCAGAGAAATATCCTGTAATTGTGATGTAATGTAATGCCATCTAGCCCCAGAATGCATGTGCTGTTTTCTTCCTCTTGGCTCAGATTGGCCATATGCTGTTTTCAGAGTCCTTCCTGTTTGGATCTCCAAGATTCTGTCTTCACAACATTACTCATTAGTTTCAGTCCTTTCTTATATCTTCTTGTGTCAAACTTTCACTTTAAAGAAAAAGTAAAGTCCTATACTTACTGAAGTATTTATTAGCAAGTTAATATATCTTTTCAAATGTGAAAGCATTTTTAATAAGATGATTGCTGTTTTTCTTCAATTTTTTATTTAAAGATGTGGGGTACAATTCAGGGTTAGGTATACGAATGTTCATTATGCAGATATCCTTGTTGATGAGGTGTGCCTCCTCCATCCCTGGTAGTTTCCCTCAACTACCAATCCCACCTCCCTTCCCCTGGCAGTTTCCCCCACTGCTAATTCCTTTCTTATAGTATTATGATAATTGTTCAAGGTCAGCTTATGAGTGAGAACATATGATACTCAGTTCTCTGATTCTGTGACAGATCACTCAGTATTATAAAGTCTAAGTCTATCCAAGTTGCTGCGAAGTTCATAATTTTGACCTTCTTAATGGCTGCACAAAATTCCATCATGTATATTTATATTTCTCAAATCCAGTCCTCTTTCGATAGGCAGCATGGTTGGTTCCATGTTTTGGGTATTGTGAATAATGCTGCAATAAACATATGTGTGCAGGTATCTTTTTCATGTAGTGTTCTGAGTATCTCTGGGTATATTCCGTGAAGGGGGATTGAGGGGTTGTATGGAAGGTCGATTTTTAGATCTTTTAGGAATCACTAAACTGTTTTCCTCAAAGGTTGTACTAGTTTACACACCCACCAACAGTATAGGAGTGCTCACTTTTCCCGCATCCTCTCCAGCATCTGTTGTTTTTTGAGTTATTGATGATGGCCATCCTGATTGGAGTTAGGTGGTATCTCAGTGTGGTTTTAATTTGCATTTCTTTGATGACTAGTGAGGCTGAGCATTTTTTCATGTATCTGTTGGCTGCTCATATGTCCTCTTTTGGGATGTGTCTATTCATATCTTTTGCCTACATTGTAATGGGGCTGTTTGTTTTTTCTCTTTTCAGCATATTTGAATTACTTGTAGATCCTAGATGTTAAGTCTTTTTTGTTAATACTCTATAGGTCGAGTGGTTTGCCCTGATTCTATTTTTTACTCGTAAGACTTGGTATTTCTGGCATACAATTTTGAAGACCACAAAGTTTTTCAGAAATGCATATATATATATATATATATATAGAGTGTGTGTGTGTGTGTGTGTGTGTGTGTGTGTGGTGCCAAAAAAAGCATACATTTTTAGAGATGTTATCTATGTATTATTTTTCAAAGTTGAATCGAATGACGGTAGCAGTGTGTAACATGACGTTCACTCAAAAGTTGGTGTTAATCAGATGAAGGCTAGCATCACCATAGGCAGGACAGTTAAAGAAGATGGCAGAAGCACGGTTGTCATTTGAGGAATACAGGACCATCTGAAATTTGGTGGTATTTGAAATTTGAGAATGTTGTGGAAGTACAATGATGAGAGAGGTATGAGTATGCAACAGAACCTCCAACACACCTAACAACTGCATGCATCCATAAGTTTGAGACACATGGCACTGTGTGTGATATGCACAAGGGAAGATTTGGGAGTCCTTGCACAGCAACAAGTCCTGCAGTAGTTCACAGTAATCAGAAGTACCTGGACACTGATGGTAACCACTGTGAGTACCTCTTGTAATTGCAGAAGTCAAATGTAACTTCTATTGATCTTTTGTTATCGGTATATATTGACTATTACAAATTTAATAGTTTTTTCCTTTCTTAAAATGTGTATACATTTTTTTGGCACCACACAAATACACACACATACTCACACATGTGTATATACATATACATGTATGTCCCTATTTTTCCCCCTCTTGTGCAAGGAGATAAGACTGGTATGATAAAGTCAGCATTGCTAAATAACAGAAAAGAGATAATCCTATTTCATAAATTCTCTTAGAGGACCACTTTTTTTCCACATGTTAAAATCTCAAGCCGGGCTCGGTGGCTCAGGCTGTAATCCCGCGCCTTTGGGAGGCTGAGATGAGTGGATTGCCTGAGCCCGCGGGTAGACCCGCCTGGGCAGGGAGACCTCATCTCTACAATAAATCAAAAAATCTGCCGGGCGTGGTAGCGTGCGCCTGTAATTCCGGCTACTCGGAAAGCTGAGGCGGAAGGATCGCCGGAGCCCAGCAGGTCTGGGCGACAGAGTGAGACTCCAACTCAAAAAAAAAAGCTCAGAATTAGGGATGCACCCTGCAATCAAATGGTATCTTAGCATTATGTAATACTTAGATTGACAGCCTTTTGTTTTAAAGTGGTCTGTAAAATAACATTTACAATCTATGGCATCTTAGAGTCAATAAAATGTGGTAGTACTAAAAAAATATAAGCTGGGCCATTTTCTACCTGGTGATTTACAAATTGCTTTCTCAGCTCTGATAAACTTATTCGGTTTAGCCTAAAAGTAACAAATATACTTCCCCCAATTTCCTCTCACACCTCTGAACTATAAGGAAGAAATCTAAGACGAATCAAAAAATTAAATAAGGCATGAAATCAGATGTTTCCCTCAACAAGTTTCACTTAGGAAATATTGACAGGTAAGAGGAAGTTCTCAATGTACAGGCTTCTACTCAACATCCTAGGAGCTACTTTGTCTGTGGGGTTTCCTACTACCACTACACCCTCCAAGACACACTTAAATTCAATTCAAAAGCCTACACTGTGGCCACTGTTTTGGAAGTAGTAATGACTAGGTTTGCCAGAAAGGAAGGAGGGTAGGAAAACTCCCCCAGAAAAAATAGCAGCTGGGGGTGGGGAGAGCAGTTCAAACCTTTGAAGTTGAAATGAGAGTTCAAAAAGCAACAAATACAAAAAACTGAAGTTAGAGAAAAGCAATGGTTAGTGATAAATACAAAATGATATTCTTCTATAAATTTTAAATCACAAACTTATTAGAAGTGCTTTCTGAAAAAATAAACCCCACAGGGATTTTTTTCCCATTGAAGGCATTTTAACAAATACAAAAGGTCAACGAATTCAAAACCTAACTCCTGAAACTACCTAACATTGTTTCCTAAATACCTAACAATAAAAATTATGGAAGCACTCATTAAAGATATAGCTTTCTAGGCCTCTTACCCTGGAGACTATGATCCAGTGGTGCTGCAATGGAGCAGGAACCTGTATTTTCAAGAATCACTCCCAGCTGATTCACATCATCAGGAACAGTTTGGAAACACTGGCCTGCAGACTTCCCCTGTAGTACACTTTGTAGACCATTGTCAGTTACCTGCCCAAAATACTACCTCCCCATACTTAACCTCCAACAAGCTGACACAACAAACACAAAATTTAAAAATGTCTTCCACAATTGGGTCCCCATTTCCTTTCTTAGCACTCTTTCCTGCTACAACTCACACTAATCATGGAAGTCTCCTGAAACAAGCCTCACTTAGAGGCCATTGCTTAAGCAATGCTATTTCCTCTACCTGGGATGCCATTTTTCTCCCAAATTTCCCAGCCCCAATCCCACCTCCTTCCAGAAGCCTTCCCAGACTCCTTCATTCAGGATTGCTTTACTTACCATACTGCTGTAGAAAGCTATTCGAACAAGACTTTAAACATGGTGCCTTACACCAAACTAACTGATCAATGTATTCGAATAGGGCTTTTCTTACACATAAATTGAAGCTCAATAAAGTTTCTAAATTATAATGGACTGAATAAAGATTACTTCTAATCATTGAAACAAAATACAGAGCCAGTCGAATAAAGTTTTATATGTAGGCTCTTTTTGCTATCCCCACTCTTGACATAAATTCAAGTCCAGGCACAGTGGCTCACGCCTATAATCTCAGCACTTTGGGAAGCGGAGATGAAAGGACTGCCTGAGCCCACGGGTTTGAGACCAGCCTGGACAACTCGGCGAGATCTCATCTCTACAATAAATCAAGAAAAACTGGCTGGGCATGATGGTGCATGACTGTAATTCCAGCCACTTGGAAGGTTGAAGCAGAAGGATCACCTGAGTCCAACAGGTCGAGGTTGCAGTGGCCATGAGCGTGCCACTGCATTCCAGCCTAGGCAGCAGAGTAAGACTCCAACACACACACAAACACACACAAAAATTCAATACTCAGTATCAAAGACAATCTTTCTAAAGGAAATTAAAAAGTTAACATTTAGAAATCGCTTTTCCATCAGGAAAACTGGGCTTAACAGAATTTTTTAAAAACCCATATGTGCTAATTATAGAGAGGAATTCATATTAGTAAAGTCACTCAAATGTCATATTCAAACTATGTTCAGCTCTTCAAAGACATTAGCTGCTTCTTTAAGAACGCAGTATTCTAAAACTATTTTTTTAATTGAAAATTACTTGGAAAATATAACATTAAAGAGGAAAGTAAGTTTCTGACCTGACATTACTGCTATTTTATAAATGTTGTGAAAATCTTAAAAATCAAAAGTCACATGCTTTTGTTAAAAATACCAGTTTGAATTAGCCAGGCGTGGTAGTGAAAGCCTATAGTCCCAGCTACTCGGGAGACTGAGGCTGGAGGATCACTTGAGCCCAGGAGTTTGAGGCTGTGATGAGCTGTGAATGTGACACTGTACTCCAGCCTGGGTGACAGAGTACAACTGACTCAAAAACAAACAAAAAACAAATTACAGTTTGTCACAGAAAAAAACCAAAACAATTTAACTATTTCCTGCTTTGCTAATGTCTGCTGACTCCTTAGTATATACAAAAGTAACTCTCAGACTCAGACTGTCCTGAATATAAACCACATACAAGACATACATCAAGAGCTATGAGAGACACAGAGATAAATTCTAACCCTCTCCTCAGGAAAACTAATCCATAAATGCAAATCTCAGTACAACACCCTCTGAAGGTCTGGTCTTGTGTATTGTTAGCTCGTTATTCAATATTAAACACTATTTACCCAGATAAGCCTAGATAAATGGCTACGTTAACCTGCAATATTAAGATGTCTTTCAGTAATCCCTCTATGAAGGATTCCAGTCACATGGAAGCCAAATTCAACCAGTTTCTAAGTACTGGAGACCTCAGTGCCTATACATTTTCTCTCGAATCTATTTCCAAATCTATGACCTAAACAAATGATTCTCAATGCATGCCATAAGCATATTCTACTAGGCCTGTTAAACAACTAATCTCCCTCACTCCCAACGTTTCTGACTCTTGAGTGGGACCCCCCAGTACTGCATTTCTAACAAACTCTCGAGTAATGCTGATGGTTCAGGGAACACACTTTGAGAAGACTGTCCTAAAATATCCTCATCTCCTCTAGATACATACATAATAGTCTCCTAACTAGTCTACCTACTTCCCTCCACTCATGAACCCTTCAATCTGCTTGCTACCATGAAGATTTTTTTAAAAACCCAAATCGAACATTACACTCCATCACCTTCTTGGTTCCATGAACATGCCATGCTCTTTATTGTGCTTAGAGTGTGAGTGATGAAGACAGTGCTACCAGACTTTGGTTGGTCTTTTTACATTTTTTGTTCTGTAATACCTAGTTAACAGCTTTTTTTTTCTTTCCAGAGACAGGGTCTCATTCTGTTGCCCAGGCTGAAGTGCAGTGGTACAAGCACAGATCACTTTGTCAACTCTAAAATTTAAGTTACCTAGTCAACTGAGATGTTAAAGCATAGGAGCCCAAAGGCCTAGGAAATTTCTTGGAAAATGTGAAATTTATTTTATTCTCCAATCCCTATAACATGTCTTTATTTGAATCTCTAATAAGGAGCTGTAAAGGAATGCTGGTTACTAAGCCATCTTTCAGCTTCTAACCTACCATTCTTTATTCAGCTTTGTGATGCTGGGTTGAAGTCCCTGCAAAGCACATTTCTTCTTTGATACCTTTTACCGTCTTTGACACTTGTAGGATCAGCCAATAAGGAATGCTCAAGGGAAACTGGAAGACCAGAGAAGGAAGGCACATGCTCCTTCCTTTTAGCTTCTTGTTCCAGTCAGTCATACCAACAACACTTCACCTTGTAGAAGCAGTTTGCTCCAGTAGGCAGCAATTAATATCATTTTCCAGTTTTTCCAAAACTCCCAGAACCACCTTCAACTTGTCTCTTCACTCCCCAGACACCATGACCAGCCAGTAGATTAGAATTCCCTCTTCAAAAGGTTAAATCTTAGCTTCAGAGGGATTCAAAGAGATCTTCAGCCATGCAGCGTCTCCCTCCCCAGTCTCATCCAGTCTTTCCTGTGAGCTTTAGAGGCAAACTTCCAAAGCAGAATTCTCTCCTCAGGGTCTAAGTCACAGCTCCAAGGAGCCCTCACAAGATTCTGATAGGTGGTTTCAACTTTGTCCATTTATTCCTTGAAGAACTAGGGATGGTAAATGCTTCCTGAATTTACTACCTTCTTGATATTTTGGTTGGCCTTTTTATACTTTTTTGTTCTGTAATACCTAGTTAACAACTTTTTTTTTCTTTCCAGAGACAGGGTCTCACTCTGTTGCCCAGGCTGGAGTGCGGTGGTACAAGCACAGCTCACTGCAACCTCAAACTCCTGGGCTTAACCAATCCTTCCTCCTCAGCCTCCTGAGTAGCTGGGACTACAGGTGCATGCCACCACACCTGGCTAATTTTTAAAAATTTTTTTTGTGGAAACAAGATCTCACTGTGTTGCTGAGGCTGGAACAACTCTTTATATTAATCCCCTATGGTAAAATAACTGGTGCAATTTTTAACTCCTAACAGAATACTGACTAATAGCAGTGAAACATTAAAGAAAAGAAAGGCCATGGTTAGACTAAGCGAGGAAAGTATTTGACAGGCCTATAAACATAGAGCTAGATGCATTTCAAAATAACAACAGGAAAAAGGTGACAGTAAGGGTAGATATGATAAAGACAACTTCTAGAGCACCTATGCCTTTATAAAGAAAAAGGTATTATAAAAGTCAGAAGGGACATGTTTGGTCTTCAAAGGCTAAAAGTGGGATTAAAGCAGATACAGTTTATAGGACAGCCCAGCAGATTATAGGGTAATTAAGACAGGTCTTAGTCCATTCAGGCTGCTATGACAAAATGGCATGAACTGGGTAGTTTATAAGCAACAGAAATTTACTTCTCACAGCTCGGAGAATGGGAAGACCAAGATCAAGACAGAGTCTGTATCCGGTGAAGGTCCGTTTTCAGGCTCTCAGATGGCACCTACTTGTCCTCACATGCAAGGGGCTCTCCTAGGCCACTTTCATAAGGGTACTATCATACTTAAGAAAGCTCTACCCTCATGACCTAATCACCTCCCAAAGGTCCCCTTTCCTAAATTATACTATTACCTTGGAGGTTGAAATTTCAATATATGAATTTTGGGGATACACAAATATTCAAACCATAGCAGATGATTTTAAAGGGAATGTAATTATATTAAAACTTCAAACTTGTGGAAAATTAGTTTTTTAGTTATATTTACACTATACTTAACTATAGGTAAACTGTATTCACTTTTTATACCATACTAAAATTGAGTAAGGCATTTTAACCAACAGCATATATAGTAAGCTAAAATTTGAAGACAAATGCATTGTTAGGGAAATCAGTGAGAGAAAGATCAGGATCAAAGCCTCAGTCTTTGCTGGAAAGGACATAGGAATGTTTTCCTTACATGGTAACAAAGGAAAAATCTTTGGGCAGATGATCTAGAAAATGTAGCTCAAATGCAGAATGATTCAGAAAGTTGAATTCTAAATCCTTTTGTGGCCCCATAAGAAGACTAAACTATATGTATTTGGTTTATTTACCTAGCTGTTTAGTATTGTTTATACAGTAGATAAAGTATTGTATAAAGGGAAGTCTATTCATAACCTAGCAATGTTTCTAATATTTAAAAGATCCTTGGGGGTATAACTGTTGCCTGTCACCAGAGGCTTTAGAATTCCATTATCAATTAAATCACCATTTTAGTATATTTAGATTAACTGTAAGTTGCAAAGAATATGGGAAAAACCACAGACCAGAGTTTTCTTCAAACTGCTTAAAACTAAATGACAAAAGCAAAACCTTAAATTCTACTCACAGGTAAAGAAATTACTTTATATATCTTTGAAAAATAACATATAATTATCTTTTTAAATGTTACATATGACAGTCTATGGAACATTCCAGTCCTATAAAGACAATAATATTTACTTGATACTTTTAAATACCCAAATCAAAAAATTCATTTTTTTTATTCACCTGTTGATGGCGAAATACAATAATCATCCTCTACCGAGTGGCCATAGAGATCATCATCTTCGAAATCTAAAAGATACACAAAAAAAGACAAATTCATTTACAAGGTCTTTTCATACACTTATTATAAATGAGAAAGCATCTGAATTCTCTCCAAAATAACTTGTTTATCAATATTTACTTTTCAAAAAAATGCTAAGAATTACACTCACAAAATAGGTATTTCTATATTATAAAGACATGTATTGTCCTTCTGTTTCTGTTTTGTTTTTTTTTTTTTGCAAGAGACAGAGTCTCGCTCTTTGCCCAGGTTGAAGTACAGTGGTGTGATCATAGCTCACTGCAGCTTTGAACTCCTGGGCTAAAGTGATCCTCCCTCCTCACCCTCTTGAGTAACTGGGATTACAGGGGCATGCCACCACACTCACCAATTTTTTTTTTTTTTTGAGACAGGGTCTTGCTATGTTGCCCAGGCTTATCTTGAACTCTTGGCCCCAAGCAATCCTCTGGCTTCAGCCTTCCAAAGCACTGTGATTACAGGCATAAGCCACCACACCAGTCACGGTTCAGTGCTTAAGACAACTGGGTATAAGTTTTTCCAAGTTTTTACCTCAGCTGATCAAAAAATAATAATCCTATAGACACTACACTTGAATAGTCTTTCTAGTGTTGACAAAAACTTGAAATTAGCCATGTGTCCTTTTTTCACCAAATGCCCTCTATAACCAAAGCATTTTTTCCCAGTAGAACTGACTAGCACAGGGTGTACAACAGATCATGAAAGTAATTCTTCTTCATATAGAGCTAGGGAACTTCTATACTAATCCCTGTGCTTACTCCATTGACAGTTAACTGACCTTTTTCCTACTGACTGGAATATGCTCTCTGCCTAGATGTTCAAGGCTGTTTCTTTCTCCTGGCGAAAGTTTTAGCTCGAATGTCACCTCTTTGCAGAATTCTTCCCTGACCATTCTGGGTAAACCAGCAAGCCCCCGTGCCACCTTTATCCTTTAGCACACTCCTCCAATTTACAGTATGTCTTCAAAGCACCACACTCCTGTTCACGCCAAGAGACTGTCAGCTTCTTTTTATATTTTTAATAACTTCATTCTATTATAGAGATGTGGAGTACAAGTCAGGATTAGGTACATAAGTAACCTATGTGCAGGTTAAGTTTGGGCCTCCAACTGGTCTTCACTTCCCGGGTTTAGGACCAGGCACTGTCAATCCCTCCCTTGTGCAATTGTGATTAATGGAAAACTTGGTTTAGCAAACTACCGAGCACATATTTAACACTAAATTAATATTTGTATTATAAATTAATAAATCAAGCTAATTAAAACTAAAAACCCACAAAGAACAGAAATATATTTACATAAATGTATTTACTTATTTGTCAACACATACAAATACCACATTAGGGACCATTAGAGATAATCGTGATTTAATAGTGAGCACGGTCCCCAGTTACCTCCACACCTGAAATCTGACAAGGAACACAGACAAGAAAATGGGCAATTACAAAATCATGTGACAAATGCATGACATGAGAAACATGGAGCAATTTGGAAACACCCACATGAACAGCAAAACTAGAATAGGGCATGGGGTGGCTAGGGGAAAAAAACCCAAAATACAGCATCTAACCCAATTCCAAAGATGAGAGTTAGTTACATTTTGAGGGTATTCATGCAACAGGAACAGCATGCTCAAAGTTAGATAAATGCTGTTATTGGATAAAAATATGCAACATTCAATAAATTATGAGATCACAGCTCCAAGTTAATAAATAACAATTTACTAACAAATAAATGAGGGGTCATTCACAAACAAAATCTTTGTAGATATTAAAAACAAGAAGAATCCTTTTTAATAAGTCTGCTAATGTTGAAATTGACTCTAAAGTGTCACAGTATAAAAGATGAGGAGAATTCTGTCCTGCAATCTGTGTAAAGTAGCTTGTTTCCTCAATAAAATTTTGGAGTACTTACTACAGGTAAAGAATACTGTAACAGCTACTTAAAATTAAAGTATGGATTTTGCCTTCCACGAGCTTATAAACTTTTGAGAATCTAAAAATTATGATCCTGAGAGTACAAGGGAAAGCCTAAATGGGAAGAAGAGAAATAAATCAGGCCCTGAACATGAGCAAAATTTTTATAAACAGGAAATGAGGACGAACCTCCTATGTTACAAAAACAGCTTGGTTATGATGTCATCAATTACTCTACAAACACATGACAACAGTAGAATCTGACCCCAGCTGGACAAGGTGATATTTAGCACTCATTCTCTCAGGCCAAGCACCTTTCCTCCTCAATGAAGCATTCCTTTTCATAGAAATCCTGATTATGCAAAAGAAAATAGCTGGGCATGGTGGCATGCACCTGTAGTCCCAGCTACTCAGGAAGTTGAGGATGGCAGATTGCTTGAGTTCAAGGCCACAGTGAGCCTTGATCTTGCCATTGCACTCTGCAATGGATGACAGAGTGAGACCTCTGACTCCAAAAAACAAAAAAAAAAAGAAAGAAAGAAATCCTGCTTAAACTCTCCCAATCCACTGTGAATTAAGTGTTTTCATATGCACAATCCCTCATAGCACTCTGTCAGTACTTTTTCTAACACCTCTCATACTGTAATCATCTGTAACTTGTATTATCTCCTCCTTTTAAACCACTTTCAAATATCTTACTGTTAGTCCCAAAGTTTAGAACGGTACTCTAAGCACTCAATAAATGTTAAGAAAATGATAAGTGACTATTAAAGAAACAAATGAGCAAAGATTAGGCCTACTCATGTTCTTTATATATCACATTTGCAAAATATCTCCCAGTCTTAATTTCTCAGGTAACAGTAGCCCAGATGCAATACTTACATTCACAGCAGTACTTCCTTAAAAGGGCAGGCCTCCATTCCAAAGTGAACACCAGGAAATTACCATGTGCCAGGCAGACTGCATCACAGTCTCCAAATACAGCACAAGCTGCCCTCCACTATGGATTAGACAACACAAATATTCCAGAATAATCTACTTGGGGTGCCAGTGATAAACACTAATGTATTTAGCACTATATATATTAGTGCTTTACAAAACAAAAGATTTTTGTTCCTCTTCTGTATTAGTACATATTTGCTCATATTTTTAATTTGTATGACGTGTGGTGATGCCTTTAAGAGACATATGCTCCTCCTAAAACTAACTCTAACTCCTTTAACTACTAGAAAATATTCATATACACATTTTTTTTATTTCACTTTTAAAATCAGAAAGTCCTTTCCCATGCCCTCTTTCCTCTCGTAATACTTTTTCTTTCCATTTCAAAATACGTTTATGCTAAGCATTGCCAGCCGAGAACTAAGTGTACATCTCAAGAGCATCTATGTGATCGACTTATCCTTTGGGTCCTTTTAATATGTGTCTTTTCTACAGTCTCCTAAACTCCCAATTTGAAATCCGTTGAAAAATAAGTTAGCTCAAGTAAAAGTGTTCATTAACACACACAAAAGGTTTATCACGTAAATCTTAAGTTTCAGCAGGTGACTTGAATGCAAGCACTAAGTCAATCTACGTTTACAAGGAAGCAAAGTTTCATGGACAATTCTAAAAGGGGGCTTGGGGAGAGAAGCTAGCAGCAGGCACGTGAGTGCCGGACCTGGGAGCAAACAATGGGAGAGGTGATAATGCTTACATACATAAGTATCACCGAATCCCAACCTCACGACGTGTCCTTCCCATCTGACGCTATGCAGCACCTTCTTCTTCCCGAATGAAATCAATCCCAGAGGGTAGAGATCACAACTGAAAACAACGCCACGGTGGCACTCAGGTGTCCCGTCATTTTCCCCCGACAGGGCCTCCCCGAATTCCAGCCTGGTCCAATGAGAGGAACCCACAGATGGAAGTGGATGCCAAAGGGCTGGGATCCCAGCTGGAACAGCGAAAACAACGGCCCGGCATGACCCCGCCACCTACCTTCATCGTAGTTATAGCCTCGGACATTCCGATGCCGCGCCATGGCGGCGGAGATGGCGTTTGCCACAGTCCCTTCGGATATATCCCGCTTAGATATTGACGAGGCGCCGACTGCGGCCTGAAGAACACCTAACCGCCATCTTGGCTTCCGGCAGGCGTCTGCGCCGAGCGCCTGCGCACGCACGACGTCTTATCTGCGCACAGCGCGACGGCAACCTCTCAGGGTCAAGGTCCTCCTCCCTAAGGACGCATGCGCACTTCTGCGCACGGGTCCGGGGCATGGCTTCTGCGTGGCGGTGCTTGCCGGCACCGCTGGCTGTCGGGGTTTCCAAATAAGAAAATCCCGCCACCCAGAATTGGCTGGTTTGGACCAAATTTTGTGAGCCGGAGTCCTTGATCTACACCAGTGTTCCAGATTATTTTCCAAATTTGTTTTCTGATCATCTACTGAAAAAGCCAACTGTGTACTCAATAAGAGCAAGGACCTTGTTTTCCATAGACCTGGAAGACTGCCCACTTTGGTCTCTGAGATCTAGTTAGGCACACAGTAGGCATTCAACAAATGTATAAATTTGGTCTAAGAATTATACAGGCTGGTCACATGTTCTTCAGACGCCTGGCCCCCTTCTCTCCCTTGAGAAGTGGATTCACCCTCTTTCTCTCTATCTCTTTAAGCTACTCCCAATCTAAAACAGAAAAAGAATTAGTTCAAGCTTTAGAGGGAGTAAAGGCTATTTTTTAAGCGTTAAAAAGGCTATGTTTAAGGTTAAATTGAGAACCTGGCCACAGTAGGTCACCATGTGTTCGTGTAATGCTTGGCTGTCATGTACACACTCGATCCTGCATTAATTCCTCTCATAAACAACTATCTGCCCTTAGCTGTGTAACCGATGTTAGCTATGTAAACAATCTTTACAGCATCATAAAGAAGGATTCACTAAAACATTCATTGAACTCATAATTGTAAGTAACATAGTATGCATAAATACAGCTTTTCAGACATAGCGCTGGCCTTAGGTGGTGATGATGAAGGTTGTTGATGCATGAATCTATAACCTATCATTAAATGTATCATTAAATGTCCTCATTTCTTAGAACATAAAGTTAATAACGCTATATATATATGCATATATATGCACTAACTTCATTATCGTGCTGAAAAAAATCACTGCAGTTTTAGCTTGTGTTTTTGAAATGATGATTTCCATGAAAGTTCTAAAAATGAATTAATGAATTAAAAGCTTACTCAGCTTTTACTTATCTGCAATTGAAAGAAAAAAATAAGAGTAATACAAATTTAATTCATATTTGTAAGTGACTTGGAAGGTATTTATGCATGCATTTGTATATTATATTTTTGTTATTCGTTATTGTTTCATGTGGCTCCAAGTCAAAATTCTACACAAAAATAGAGTTGCTAATTTTATTTGGCTTAAGTGTTTTTTTTATTTTACACCTTTAGATAAATTTTATATTGCAGACTGTTTCTTTGTAAAACAGAGATGGTAAAACTATCCAGCTCAGAGTTATGAATAATTTATCAATTCAAGATTACGTGAACATATCCAGATCCCTACTTCTATATCCAGAATATAAAATCCCAAAATATCCAGGGATCCCTCACTGCCTCCTCATCATGGTCCCTGACAACTGATCACCTGTCACTTGCATTTTTTTAAAATTATATAAATGTAATCATATATTCTTTTTTCTGTCTTAATTCACTCAGCATAATTATTTTGATATGCAACCATGTTGGTGGTAGAATCAACAGAGGAAGATTCCATTGTATGGATATGCCACAATTTGTTTTCCATTTGCCTACTGATAGATATTTGGGTTGTTTTCAATTCTGGCTACTTCAAATAAAGCTCCTGTGAATATCTGTGTACAAATCTTTGTATGGACATAAACTTTGATTTCTCCTGGGTCAATACCTAGGAGTGGAATGACTGGATGATATAAGTTATCTTTAGCTTTTAAAAGAAAATGCCTTTTGTTTTCCAAAATGGTTGAAACATTTTCTCTTGCCACCAACAGTGTAGTTCTGTTTTCTCCACATCTTTGCCAACACTTCATATGATCTAAAGATGCTAAGTTTATTTGACATTTGTGTATTCTCTTTGGTGCAGTGTTTGAATCTTTGGTCAATTTTTAATGGGATGTTTGTTCATTTTTTTGTTTTTGAGTTTGGAGTGTTCTTTTCATATTCTGGATACAATTCCTTTATCTAATATATAATTTGGAAATATTTCTTCCAGCATGTGACTCATCTTTTATGCTCGTAATAGTGTCTTACTAGAAGTTTTAATTTTGATGAAGTCCAGTTTATAAATTTTTTTACTTAATGCATTGTGCTATTGATTTTGTTCCTAAAAAGTCTTCAATGTCACAAAAATGTTCTCTCTTTTGAAAAATAAGTTTTACAACTTAGAGTTTTACATTTAGGTTGATGACACAAATTCATAATTTGGTTTTTTTATATGGGAAAAGGTTTGGATTAAAGTTCATTTCTTGCATATGGACATTTGTTGTAGCACCATTTATTGAAAAGAAGATCTTTTCTTCACTGAATTGCATCTGCATTTGTATGAAAAATCAGTTGTCCAGTGTGGGGCTATCTCTGGACCACTGATATCCTGATCCACTGATATACTGATCTAATGATCTAGCTTAGCACTGGTACCATGCTGTCATGATTAATGTAGCTTCATAAATCTTAAAATTGGTGGTGTTAATCCTCCACCCTTGTTCTACTTCTTTAGAGTTCTCTTAGCTATTTTAGGTCCTTGGCATTTCCATATGAATTTTCAAATGAAGTTAATAATTACTGATAGTATTCCTTCTGGGAGTGTAATTGACATTTTGCTTACTTTGTAGGTCAGTTTGGAGAAAATTTACATTTTAACAGTAAGTCTTTCAACACATGCATATATTTTATTCCTCTCAATAATGCTTTCTATTTTTGAGTGACTTGCACAACTTTTGAAGATTTATTTCTAAGTACTCCATACATATTTTTTGATGCTATTGCAAATAATATTTTTAAAACTTTTAAAGTAAACATATGCAATTAAACTATTAAAATTAGTAAATTAACACTATCAATACACGAAATTGTATATTTTATGCATTCTATAATTGTACAAAACTAAATTGTATATAACATAATTTATATGATTGTATAAAATCACAAAATTTTATATATAATTGCATAAAACTATATAATGTATATATGATAGTAACAAACAATACAAAATTAAAAATTCATTAGCTATGTTAGCATTAAAAAATCATCCTAAGTAAATTTTAAAAAATTCATCCTATGATACTTAGGATAAATATAAGAAAATATATATGAGAGAAGACCCAAAAAAACCACAGCATTTGTTTATAAGAACTCTGTATTCTTGTTTTTTTTTGTTGTTGTTTTTTTTTTTTTTTGAGTTGGAGTCTCACTCGGTCGCCCAGACTGGAGTGTAGTGGCCGCTCCCGGCCACCGCAGCCTCGACCTGCTGGGCTCAGGCAATCCTTCCACCTCAGCCTTCCGAGTAGCTGGAATTACAGGCATGCGCTACCACGCCCGGCTGATTTTTTTGATTTATTGTAGAGATGAGGTCTCGCTGCCCAGGCGGGTCTGGAACCCGCGGACTCAGGCAATCCAATCACCTCAGCCTCCCAAAGGCGCGGGATGACAGGCTGAGCCACCGAGCCCGGCTAGGAACTCTGTATTCTTATATGTTTAAACTTAGTCATCTTCAAAGCCCTCTCTGTTTGATACAATACACCTATCGAGGCACTTTTTCCACTGTTCAAAACAGTTTTTGAACTGTCAATTTTGATGCCTGTTAGTGCTTCTGCCATTTTTTGTTTCACCTCTTCCACATCAGCAAACGCTTCTCTTTGAGGCCTTTCTTCATCCTGAGAGACAAAAAGTCTCTTAGAACAAGATCAGGTGAATAGGGAGGGTGGGGCGTGGAGGTCATGCCGTTTTGGTCAAAAACTGCTGAACACTCAGCACAAAGTAGGCAGGTGTGTTGTCATGGTGGAAACACCAGTCACCTGTTTGCCACAGAAATATTCACTGTAGCCAAACACAGCCTCTCACAACAACACAAGCTGGTACACTGATGCCAATGAGTTCCTAGAACACTTACCCAGTGGAGAAAGCCTGTACTACAAGGGGCCTGCCCTCCAAAAGATAACTGGTTTCCTTGGGGGGGGCGGGGGCGGGTCCTCCCTGTGTAAGGCCTAAACTAAAACTAGAAAACATTGCGGAGATAAATACAGAAAAATCACATTAAATGGAGAGAAATACCATGTTCATGGTTTGGAAAAGTCAATAATATTACGTTAAATTGGAGAGATGTCTATTCTCCCCAAATAAATCATATCCAAGTTTATCCCAATCAAAATCTTAGCAGCTTTTTTTTTAGGGAGGGTGGAAATTGACAGTCAGATTCTGTCATTGAAAGGGAAAAGCAAAGATTCTAGAAGAGCCAAATCAATCTCAAAAAAAAAAAAATCAAGTTGGAGAACTTACACTGTCTGATCAAAGCAGCAACATAGTTTAATCTGAGATGTAATATGAGCAAAAGAAGCCAAACCTGAAGAGTATGCGGTGTTTGATTCCATTTAGATGAAATTCTAAAACAGGTAAACCCATTTCATAGTGATAGAAGTCAGAATGGTGGTTACTTTAGAGGTAAATATTAATGGATGTGGGAAAGAGAATTAAAGGGGGGTACTGTAGGTTCTGGACATGTTCTATATATCAATCCAGGTGAGGGTTATAAGGTTTTATACATCTGTAAAATTTTATAATGTAGTACATTTAAGATGCATGCACCTTGCAGTAATAAGTTATACCTCAATTATAAAAACTAAATGAAAAATGCCAAAATTTTTAAATGTAATTTTCATGACTATCTTCAAATATATCTGTATATATTTCAAATGTTTCCTTTATGCCTTATAGTGTCATTTATTTGTGTGTGTGTGTGTGTGTGTGTGTGTGTGTGTGTGTGTGTAAAACAACAGAAATTTATTCCTTCCAAGTGTGGAGGTTAGATATCCAAACTCAGAAGTCATCAGCGCTATGCTCCCACTCATGACTCTAGGTGAGAATCTGTGCCATGTCCCCCCACCTTTTGGTGTTTCTGGAAATCTTTGGTGTTCCTTGACTTTTAGACATATCACTCCAATCTCTGCCTCTGCTGTCACATGACATTCTTCCTGTATG